GATTCATAGCTAATGCTGCAAATCATTAAAATAAATTACTTGTTACTTTGTGGCTTGCACTATTCTTACTCCACTTGCACAAATTAATTTGATAGTCACTGGCTGTGGCATATCAGTATCCTAAAGGTGAAATACACTATTAGATTTCATAGGTGAGGAAATAAGGAAAGGAACTGTTTAATTGAGCTGGAGGAGAGTGCAGTTTTACAAGAATGAAAGATCAAAGTAACTCTGCAGCATGATATATAGACTTGTGATTCCTTCAAGTTTCCTCAATCTTTGTTATCTTTACATCTAATCTTTGGGAAGAATTGCAGTTTTTTTATTTATATCTACAGTTGCAATATTTCCCTTACAAAATTGTGAACTTCCTAACAGCTAACACCCTGATGAGCTTTAAGTTCTGTGAAATGGAGACTCTCATTATAGACACTCAGCATTTGTAATTCTCAGGCTATTCTTCAAAAACACTAGCTACTCACTGTTTCAGAGATAGTAGGAACTGCAGATGCTGGAGAATCTGAGATAACAAGATGTGGAGCTGGATGAACACAGGAGGCCAAGCAGCATCAGAGCAGGAAAGCTGATGTTTTGGGTCTAGACCCTTTTTCTAAAGGGTCTAGACCCAAAAAGTCAGCTTTCCTGCTCCTCTGATGCTGCTTGGCCTGCTGTGTTCATCCAGCTCTACACTTTGTTATCTCAGCTACTTACCGTTTCTATTTATTACATCAGATGCCAATTAATGGAACCATAACATTTCCTGATGTGATTTTCACATTCAGTGTAACATGATTTCAGACATTTTTACCCAGCCAATCTCTATTGATTAAACTCTTATCAAGATGGTGAATGATGATATTCTAAATTGTTATACTAACTGCCCGTATATGTAATCAAGAGAACTGCGGATGCTGGAAATCAGAAATTTCTGGAAAAGCTCAGCAGCTCTGGCATGCATCTGTGGAGAAAATTTTTTTAAAAAGGGCCGAAGGGTCACTGGACCCAACAGATTAACTCTGATTTCTCTCCACAAATGCTGCCAGACCTGCTGAGTTTTTCCGGCAATTTCTGTTTTTGTGTCTGTGTATGAAATCATTTAACATTTAGTTGTTGCAGCCTAATTTCCTCTGAACCCGTGAAAGGTTAATCTTGATGATTTGAAAGACTTGTGTACCTTAAAGAATAATTTGAAAATGCTTTTTGAATGGCAATTAATGGTACCAGGGATGAGTGAAGGCAGAACTTTAGCCATAATGATTGTGAATTGTTTGGCTTTTGAAAGTTATTAAAACAAAAACTAACTTGTCTTTTCTTTGCTTTGCCTAACCAACATTTAAATCTGTTTCTGGCACTTCTTGACCAACTCAGTAATACTTTCTACAGAAATTAAAGCAAAATTCAGACATGTTATGGGACAGCTAAGCAGAGGCCCAGGTGACAAAGTAGGTCAGAAGGGATACCTTTTAATTGGGTTATTAATGTCAGAGAGTAAACTAACAATATTTTCTATATACTTCATTTGAAAACCATTTAACTCACATTTCTTTGGATAATGTACAATTGCAGCATGTTAGACAAAAGTTGGAACTTGATTTAGGGTGAATGATTGTTGCAAATAGCAGCAGCACCTTTCCTCAGTACCTGTACTTTGTCAGGTGTAGATTTGGGGTGTTCACAGCTCCTACAAAGTAAATTTGGGTTTCCTTCATATTATACACCTTATATCAGAAGTGCTTTGTATTTAGTTTTACTCACATGAACCAATTATGTTTGTGGGCAAACAGAAATCTTGTGTACAAGTGTTCTTTTAGAATAAAACTATTGCCCGTCAATTAAAAAAGCAAAAAGCTCTGGGTAATAAACATTTGTTAAAAGTTTTATAAAAATGAAAAAAGGTTAGAGGGATGAATAGATTAAGAAAATTAAAAGAGCAACTGTTTCCTAGTGCACACTATTATCCAAAATGACCACTTGTTCAGGACCTGTAACTGCTGTTGTCTAATTAAAACATAGCCTAGCCGTTTCCAATTTCAGTCTACATAGCATTTTGTTTTGCAATTGGGTCACAACAGTTAATAAGAACGAATGCATATTCAGATTGTATGGCAGTTATACTGGTCTTCTGCAGGAACAATAAATGTTGCATGTAGTAGTGCGGGCTGGGAATTCAAGTTTAGATATCTTTTGAACACTGTCTCATAATTCAATCAAAACCACTGTCTCATTTATATAGACACAAAGCAATCATTCACAAAATGAATAAAACCAATGTACTGCGGATGCTGGAGAACTGGAATAAAAAAAAACAGAGTGCTGGAGGACCTCAGCAGCTCTGGCAGTATCTGTAGAGAGAGAAACAGACTTGACGTTGAATCCAATGACATTTCTTCGGAACAGAAGGGCACTTGAAAATGATGGGTTTTATGGTGTTGACAAAGGAAAAAGAGAAGCTAGTGAAACAGATGGTGAGGGGTGTCCACAGCAAAAGACAAAAGGAGTGTTAAAGGAGTGATTGAGATCAAAGTTAATGATAGGTGAGAGTAGTACAAAATAGGTCATCTGGACTGATGGGAAACCCATGCAAACACGACATTTTAAGGAGGGGGTGTAAACAAAACAATGACAATGACAGTGTTCATCCTCCGAAATTGTTGAGCTCAACGTCGAGTTCTGAAGGCCATAAAAAGTGCCAAAACAGAAAATGAGATGTTGCTCTTCAAGCTTGTGAATGCTTTGCTGGAACACTGTAGCAGGGCTAGGATGGAAATATTAGCATGGAAGCGAGATGCTGTACAGGTAGTTTTCCTATAACACGATAGTTGCCTTCTTGTATAACTTCGTGCTATAGTAAAATGGGCATAGAAAATCACGTTATAGTGAAAATCGCTAAAGAAAATTGCTATACCGTACAGTAGAAAGTCCGCATTATCCAAATAGCATCCACTATTCATCAAATACGTTACAGCCAATTCGCATTAATGAAACATGCGTTATAGCTGAAAATCTGTATTGGCAGTTTTTGATCGTAAGGAAAGGTCTAATTAAAGGAATTAGAAGAGCATATGCCTCAGAGTGGACCAATACGGCAGTAAGATGGTGTATTGCATTAAATGGCATTCCATTAATGACAATGAAATTAAAAGGTACCCCACCTGGCCTATTTTGTCACCTGGGTCTCTACTTATCTGTCCCATAAGATGCTTCAATTTTTCTTCAATTTCTGTGAAAAGTTTAACAGTGGAAGTACAGCACTAATCAACAATATGTCAATACTTTTCTAGGCTAGTGTCAGAGATATTGGTCCACATGAGGGAGTATGCTGAGTATATTCGGTTAGTCCTTTACCCACAACCCAAGTACTGCCAACACACCATCAAGGCTCAAAACATGAACTCTTTCTCCCTCCACAGATGCTGCCAGACCTGCTGAGTTTATCTACTGTTTTCGATTCACAAAACTAAATTAAACTAGATGCAATTTACTTGTTTTCTGCAGTGTTTCTCCCACGATTGATCCCATTCACTGATTGGCTGATGAACAACATCTACCATAAGTAAAATCGCCAAATTAAAAATATCAAAAACCAACGTTTCATGGACGAGCATGATTTAACTCAGTTTTACAATTAAAGGCATTTCAACATTCTAACATTACTAGCAAATCGTACCTGTGGTTGAAATTTGTAACTTGAATTTGTTTAGTACCTTTAATATGGTAAACATTCCAAAGGTAATTCACAGAGAGTGATATCAAAGATATTTGGCAGTTGTCATAGTCTGAAATGTGCACCTGAAATATGATCACTATCGTGCTAAGCCATTTGAGACGCAGTGTCACAAACTGTCAATATTAAAACTGAAAGCAGGTCATGCCAACACAAAAGACTTGGCTGTATTTGTAACTGGGCCAGTGGTTTAAACACTGCCACAGGTTTCCTTCAGCAACCTCACTACAACATAAAACTGCACTATTTCCTGGACCTTTTACAGAAATGACATTTTTAAGATCAACCCAGGTTGACCAGCATGCAATTTAACAACACAATGTTACATTTGAAATATGAAATAATAAATATCAAGTTAGAATCTTTTCTGCAACTGCAAGTGAATATTGCACTTTAGAAACAAACATTGAATGCTAATTATCAAACATGCATTAAAGGTCTGGACAGCAATAAAGAAAATTGTTTACCACAGATTTTGTCCCTTCATCTCTGTTCTAAACAGTAGTAGGACAGAAAAAAAATGGCCCATTGTATTATCCAGTAGTAAATCATTGACATCACTTCTATCATATAACATTTGCGATTGAAATGAAAAAAGTCATGATTATTTCTTGTTGCTCTGCCAATTAACATTGGTTAATCTGAAGAATATATTTTATCAAAACATACTTCTTATCCTTAATACTGTCATGTTGACCATTAAAGGCTCGTACCACAACTAACAATTTTCTTAAAAACAACCTAGCAAACGTAACAGTTGAAGACCATTTCTGGTCTATTGTATATGCTAAAGAGCTTTGCTGATGTTTAACAGCAGATTAGATGTGAAATGGACAGTGATGATATTTTAAAAGGTCAAATTTATATAGGGCTTGCTCCCATTTCAATGCAGCAACTTTCACATCAAATTTCTGCCAAAGTTGAGGCAGGAGGAACCCTACCTCAGCTATAGCGATTCAGATCAAAGAAAATACAACTCCACCTTCCATGTTTCTTAGCTTCCAAAAGGTCAACACCAAAAGGTTAAGCACTGCTGCATAGCAGTTATAGCACATTTAAACAATTTTTCAACCTACCACTGGAAATTAAGGGAACTCTCTAGAATAGATCAGCAATAGCTATGTAATGTTTTGTTCATCTCCCACTTTCAAAATAATAATAAAATGGGGTGGCACTGCCGCCTCACAGTGCCAGAGGAACCACATTCAATTCCAGCCTTGTCTGACTGTGGAGTTAGCACATTCTCCCCGTGTCCATTGGGTTTCTGCCAGGTGCTCCAGTTTCATCTCAGTCCACAGATATGCAGGTTAGGTGGATTGGCCATGCTAAACTGCTCACGGTGACTAGGGATGTGCAGGTTTGGTTGGTTACCCATGCAGGGATAGCGTACGGGGCTGGGTCTGAGTGGGGTGGTCTTCAGGGGGTCAGTGCAGACTCAGTGGGCTGAATGGCCTCTTTCTGCAGTGTAGGGATTGTATGATTCTATGAAAACAACCTATGTAAATAATTATATCTTGCTCAATTTAAATTGCTCTTTCTCTAGTAGAGATCCACTTGTTATTTACTTTTCTGGATGTAAAATTCTGACTGAATAATTGATTTTTCTAGCATAAGGAATAACTAAATGTGTGTGACCATATTGCTTTAACATGCCGCCCATTGCTCATTTACAGCAGTACAATTATGGCACTCAAGCAAGACTGGTCTTTCACCACAAAATTATTTTCATCACACTCTTCGTCCGGAGTTTGGGATTTGGGAAGGCCTAGTCCCAAATACCTTAAAATACAGGAAAGACAGATTATGAAATGGATTCTGTGCTCTGCACCATATTGGGCAACAAAATGGTAAAGATACTAGATGGCTTAAAAATGCAAGCATGGTGCTATATCTGTTGATATGTGCAATAAGCCTCAACCAGCCCTTTACAGCAGTGATGAAAGTGGGCATAAAGAATTCTGAAGAACCATTACTGAACATGATATTAAGCAGAAGAGCCAAACAGTTATATTACTGGACTTTCAAACATAAAGGTGGCATTTCCCCATTGGGAAATCATTAACAAGTTTAATAACTGGTAATGTGTTGATACCATCAGCATATTGTAGCAGTTTGTAGTCTTTCATCAGATTATCAAAGCTACCGGACTGTACTCAATGTATTTTAGAGAAGTACCCACCACTCTAACCAGTCTAGGTACAACATCAATCCAGTCCAAATGTGGTTGTTTCCTAATACATTCAGAGCGACTAGAGATAGCAATACTTTCTGACTTGTCTGCGTTTCCCACTTGCTAAGGAACTAACATTAAAACCACATCATCACTTTAAAACGTTTAACCTTAAGTTTTAACAATTTACAATTGAAATCTGCTCATGAACATCTCTCCTTGAAGTATAAACATTAAGAATTAAAATGAAGATAAAAATGCTAGGAATTTTAAAGGGAGAATAATTCTGCCATGTGTCAAGGATCCTTGTGCAATACTGTTGGACTTGCATTACATTTCCAGTTAAAGAGCTTAATGGACGGAATGCTTATTTTTGTTACAATTCAGCTCTCTGCCAATTCACCTTAATCACATTAGTCCTGAGAAATAATTGTGCGATTGGACATGATCAGAGCTGTAGTAACCTAAAGTATGCTTAGCTGATATCAACATTATATTCCTGGGAGGCAACACCTGCATCACTCTATCCTGATAGTGGAACATATGTGAGGGGTTTGTGGGGCATGTTTGGGGGTGAGGGATGTGACAGATGGGGTGGCGGTCAGATGTACAGGGTAACTGTGTCACAAATGAACACAAACATCATCATTTGCATCTATTATACATCGTGGGAGCTTGTGGTCTTTTCACCAGATTTAAAGGCTGGTAGCTTTCATAAGAAACAAATGTGTCTTGTTTGCCATTCTATTTTATAGTTGTAGCTGTAAGGAACTGAACTTTGAATTAAATGTATGGAATTAAAGTTTGAATATCTAGATTACTTGCAATACCAGAACAAAGTTTAGATTTTCTCAATGTATCCCAGGATCCATAATATGGGTGGGTGCTTGGACTTTGCCATTAAGATGAACAGATGGGCATGTCAACGGTGTCTTGTGAAAGGGAAGAGTGCCCATCCAGCAGATTTCATCCATCCATTCTTTGCCAATTTATTCACATCTCGGGTAATAAACTGGAAACGCAATCCCGAAATTGAGACAAAGTGTCTTTTCGATATTTTCTAGTTCCAAATACCTTTGTTATTTTCCAGAAAAACAGTGCTTTCGTTCCTTACTCACAACAAAAGCACAGAGCAAGGTTTGAGTGGCAGAATGGCCTCCAGTACTGCAGCTTCAGATGTGTGGAAAAAGTATACAGAGCAGGTCCTTGAAGTGCTGCCCAAACATCTCCTATAGTGCAAGTTCTCTATCTCCCAACATTACTTCACTGGCTCTCCATGGACACGGAATCGATAGAGGCAAGTGTATTCAGGATGGCCCCAGTTGCTATTTACCCTCAGCTCAATGACTTGAAGTGTTCCAAGTTCTTTATTCTGAAAGATATAAATAGGCAAAGGACATTAAGGCAGGTCATGAAGCTAGTGGTTCAGCACGAAGGTACCACTGGTAGATCAGTTATCCGGCAGTTTATGAAGCATAGCCTAGAAGTCTAAATTTCCGAATTACATTAAGCTATCACATCTCCTGTGGACCTATTCAAGGAGTTGCAGGGTGTGCTGTTCTATATCAACATGCATTCAGAACGTGACTTTAACATCCCAGGTTTTTCAGACATGTAGACATGGAAGAGACGCAGGGCCGCAAATGGAAATATGGGATCAAAAATGATACTGTTGTTTCACAGGGGCAGAATGAATGAGATTGATTCAGAACTTTCATTCAATTTTCACATTTGGCTGTATGTCTACAACCTACAAGCTTTCCCTGTTAGACTTAAAGGGAGAAGAGAACTTTTCTTATGCAGAATGCCCAGTGTTTGTAAAATGCAATTGGGATAGTTGGGATGGAAACTGACAGAACCCAGAGACAGAATAAATTTTCAAATTAATTTTAATCACCAAATGATGAATTTTATAGCTAGGCTTTATTTTCATAATGGTGAGATGGTTCCTCTACTTCTAATTAAATGAACCAGGCATTGTTATAATTAATTATGAATATTTTTGTCAATGTTACATATACTTTCCACACATGTCTGACTTGGGCTGGATTCACTATTTTTAATATTAGTTTATGAAAAGTACAACTTCATTGAAAATTCACACAGCTATTCCTTTTGACATCTTGCCAAAGCTGTCAATCTTAATATCATCTTTCAAACATTAGCTCAGCAATGTTAGCACTGTCCAAATATGTACTCATCTTGGAGTGTTGGCTGGCAGAATCCTTATATAGCCTTGAGTTTACCTACAACATTTCAGTTTCCTTTACTGAGACTGTTTTTGGACAATATCGTTTATACAGCGTAGAAGGGAGTGCCAGCTGAGCCTACAAGATCAGCCATGTTCCACAGAGTAGCAAGTACAAAATTAGACTTGATACAAAGAATATTCAAGGAAAAGCAAAGAAAAAACATATTATGGTTTCTTCTATAATAAAGGAAATGTCCCTAACTTGTCTATCATCAATGTTTGCCAACTGCGAGTTGTGCCAGTAAATTTAGTTCTGATTAAGCTAACCTCAACAAAACAATGGAGTACCCATTGAATAAAAAGTGAAACCAATGTAAAATGAAATACTTTCAAGTGAAACGTAGTTTTCAAATTACACCCAAATTACCTCTGTGCTCCACTTTCCTGCCTTTTCCCCATAACCTCCTACTCCTGTACGGATTAAAAATCTCACCCTCCCTCACCATCGCCACCTGTTGCTGGATGTTGAGTCACAATCTGTCAATTTGGAATTGTTAGCATGATGTCATCTTGTGATATATCTATGCATAATAACTTTGGTTTCAAGCACTAGCACGTGGCTACAAAAAAAAATGCTGCAGCAGGAAGTCAGATATCTTGTCAATGAGCAAATGAGCTAATTCTATGGGGAATGTTCAACTTAGCGACATTAAAACTAAATGAATTCAAACACTGTAGAACAGGAACTAACTTGAAAGGACATGTAAAATTTGCTGCGAAAGTAGGAAATAAAATCAAAGTACACACAATTACATGGCTCAACACTGCAGCTGCAAAAATAAGATCATGAGTCGTAGGAGCAAAAGTAGGCCATATAGCTCACTGAGTCTGTTCCACTATTGAGTTAAATTATCAGCGATATTCCTCAACTCCATTTTCTTTCCTTTTCCCCGTGACCCTAATTCCCTTACTGATTAAAATCTGTATTTCAGCCTCAAACATACTTTATGATCCAACCTCGGCAGCCCTGTTTAGTAAAACATTTTCAGAGATCCACTACTATCAGAGAAGAAATTCCTCCACATGTGTTAAATCTGTTATTCCCTTATTCAGAGACCATGCCCTCTGGTCCCAGATTCTCCAACAAGGGAAATGACCTATCCGCATCTACCTTGTCAAGCCCCTAAAGAATTTTGTATGTTTCAATAAGGACACCTCTCGTTCTTCTAAATGCCAATGAGTACAGGGAAAACCTACTCAACCTTTCCTCAAGACCATTCCCTCCACACCCATGACTAGCCTAGTGAACCTTATCTGGACTGCCTCCAACGCCAATGTTTTTTCTAAGGTAAGGGGCCTTCCTGAACACTGTGCTAATCCATTCTCATCAGCTTAGATCTCTCCAAAGCCTCTGTCAAGAGCAAAAGTCCAAATGACATTAAGGCAGGTGTGAAGTACAGCTCAACACCAAAACCTGAAACCAATGTGAAGCAAACATTTGAATATCAACAATAAGACATTTATGGCATGTTAGATTTCAGTTCTAAATTCTAGTAATTGCATTGAGAAGCCATATTTTCAGAGAAAGATAGACAAATATTTGAAGCAGAGGAAACAGGATATGGTGAAAGAGTTCTGGAAGAGATCTGGCACTAATATGATGGACTGAATACCCTTTTCTGAAAACTTATAGGTTTTTATTACCTGGACTTGAAATGTCTGTATTGAGTCCCCATCCTGGTCATATGTGTAATGTCCTAATAGAAGCCCTTCTTCTCGAATCTCATCATCCAGGCCCTGTGGAAAAGCAGAAATAATCACAGAAATTAAACTATTCTCTACAATTCTACACACATTCTCCCACACAGTGGTGAAAATTCTGCGCCGTTTAACTTCAAACATTGACAATTTATCAATCTTGGGGGCAATATTCCTTGTACTAGTAAGTTCAAGAATAAGAACTGCATTTGCTACTCTTTGTGCTAGTATTTAATATCATGTACAAATGACTGAAACATGCTACAACATGCACATGCAGGATACAAGGTGCAATTGTTCCATGAGCAAATGCTCTGGTTTACTGGTGGCTGTAATTTAAATCCTGGGCAAAACCTTAACTTATTCACTTTTGTACTGACAGGCCAGTATCAGTATGCATACTGTAGCCAATACTGTTATATCATAAGATAGAGAAGCAGAATGAGGCCATATGACCATTTCAATCATGGCTAATATGTTCCTCAACACCATTCTCCTGCCTTCTCTGTAACCTTTGATCCCCTTACTAATCAAGAACCTAATATTTCTGTCATTGAGTGTATTTAAGACTTGGCCTCCACAGCCCTCTATGGCGATGAGTTCCACAGATTAACCACCGTCTGGCTGAACAAATTCCGCCTCATCTCAGTTCTAAAGGGTTATCCCTTCACTCAAACTATGCTCTCAGTTCCCAGTACCTCCTCCAGGTGGAAACATCTTCTCCATGTCCATTCTATTCAGGTCTCAGTATTCTGCAAGGTTCAATGAGAGCCCCCTCATCCTTCTAAACTCCATCGAATACAGACCCAGAATCCTCAACTGCTCTTCATGTGATAAGCTTTTCATCCCTGTGATCACTCTTGTAAACTTCCTCTGGATCCCCTCCATCACCAGCATATCCTTCCTTAGATTATGTGGCCCAAAACTGTTCACAATATTCCAAATGGGTTGTGACCAGAGCTTCATACAGCCTCAGCAGCATTACTGCTACTACTCCTATTGTATTCGAGCCCTTTTGACTTCTTAACTGCCAACTAGTTGCATGTTAACCTGAAGAGAATCCTGTACTAGGACTCCCAAGTCCCTTTGTGCTTCAGATTTCCAAAGCTGTTTCCCCATTTAGAAAATAGTCTATGCCTCTTCTTCCCACCAAAGTGCATAGCCTCACTTTCTTACATTGTATTCCATCTACTTGTACTTTGCCTACTCGCCTAGCATGTCCAAGTCCTTCTGCAGCCTCCCTTCTTCCTCAACAATTCCTATCCCTCAACTTTTTTGTGTCATCTGCAAACTTTGTAGTAATGCTTTCACAGTTCCATCTTCCAGATCACTAATGTATAACATGAATAGTTGCGGTCCCAACACTGAACTCTACTGAACTCCACTCGTCGCTGGCTGCCATTCTGAAAAAGACCACTTTATCCCCACTCTGCCTTCTTCCAGTCAGCCAATCCTCTATCCATGCCAGTACTTTGCCCCTAACACCATGGGCTCTTGTCTTATTTAGCAGCCTCCTGTCTGGAACCTTGTCAAAGGCCTTCTGCAAATCCAAAAAGGTTATGTCCATTGGCTCTCCCTTGTCTAACTTGCTCATTACCTCCTCAAAGAATTCTAACAGATTTGTCAGGCACGATCTCCCCTTGTCAGAGCTGTGCTGACTCAGCCTTGTTTTATCACGCAATTCCAAGTATTCAGCAATCTCACCCTCAATAATAGACTCTCAAAATCTTATAAGTGATAGAGGTTAACTCATTTATATTTTCCTGTCTTGCCTCCTTTTCTTTTTAAGTAGGGTTATTACATTATCTATTTTCTAGTCCTCTAGGACCCTCCCTGACTTCAGTGATTTCTGTAAGATCGCCTTCAATTCCTCCACAAACTCCTCAGCTATCTCCTTCAGAACCCAGGGTGCAGTCCTTCCAGTCTGGGTTATTTATCCTTCAGACCTTTCAGCTTCCTCAGCACCTTCTCCTTAGTGATGGCCACTACACTCACCTCTGCACCGCCCCGAGTCTCTTGAAGTTCTGATGTACCGCAGATGTCTTCCAATGTGAAGGCTGATGCAAAGTACCTGTCAGTTCCTCCGCCATTTCTTTGTACCCCATTACTACTTCACCAGCCTCATTTTCTAGTGGACTAACTTCTACTCTTGCCTCTCTCTTACCTTTCACATACTAAAACAAAACTCTTGCAATCTTCTTTTATGTTACTAGCTAGCTTACCCTGGAATTTCATCTTCTCCCCCTTATTGCTTTTTTTTGTTGTCTCCTAGTTTTCAAAGACTTCCCAATTCTCTGATTTCCCACTAATCTTCACCACATTGCAAGCTTTTTCTTTTGCCTTTATACTGTCCCTGACTTCCCTTATCAGCCACAGTTGCTTTTCCTCCCCTTAGTATGTTTCTTCCTCCTTGGGATGAATTTCGACTGCCTCCCAAATTAGCCCCAGGAGCTTGTACCATTGCTATTCTACTACATTCCTCCCTCATGTCTTTGTAATTACCTTTACTCAACTGTAATACTGTTACATCTGATTTCAACTTCTCCCTCTCAAACTGCAAAGTGAATTCTATCATATTAAAGTCATTGCCTCCAGGGGATCCTTCACCTTAAGCTCCCTAATTAAGTCTGCCTCATCATCAAATCCAAAAGTGCTTGTTCCCTAGTGGGCTCCAACATCTCGTTGACATTCCACAAATCCCTTTACTTGGGATCCACTACCAGCCTGATTTTCCCCGTCCACTTGCATATTGAAGTCCCGTATGATTATTGAAATATGCCTTTCTCACATGCCTTTGTATCTCCAGATTTATTTTATGCCCCACGTTCTGACTACTGTAGGAGGCCTGTATGTAACTCTCATCAGGGTAGTTTTCTCTTTGCAGTCTCTCGTCCTTAACACTGGAGCCAGGAAAGTTGTCTCAAAACATTTGAAGCATATTGTCGAAGGGTAGAGTAGGAAGGCGCAAGTTGTTGTACATATTGGTAGGAATGATATAGTTAGGGAAAGGATTAAGGCTTTGCAGAGTGAATATAAGAGGTGGAATGTTAAAAAACAGAACATCAAACATATTAATTTCTAGTTTACTTCCAGTAAGTTCTATTGAGGCAAGGCGTAAAAGGATAGGGGAAATAAATCAATGGCTGAAGAGGTGGTGCAGTGTGTAGGGATTCAGTTTCTTTGATCATTGGGATCTCTTCTGAGACAGAAGAGACCTGTTCAAAAAGGATGGGTTTCACCTAAACTGGAAAGGTGCTGATATCTTGGCAGGGAGATTTGCTGGTTCTATTTCGGGAGCCTGTGAACTTCTAGAGAGATATGACCTCCGCAAAGCCATCAGGGAGGCCAAGAAGCAGTACCGGACCAAGTCAGAGGCCCAGACCTACCAAACAGACTCCCGCCATCTATGGCGGGGCCTAAACGACATTAGGGGTACAAAATAAAACAAACAGTGTAAGATAGCGGACAATGACACATCCCTCCCTGACACGCTTAATGCTTTCTATGCTCTGCGGTGATGCCAGCCCTGACAGCCCCAGACACACCTATTCCCTCTGTCACCGCTTCGGAAGTCAAATCAATCTTCCTGGGAGTCAACCCAAGGAAAGCGATGGGTCCAGTGTCCCCAGCTGGGACTCAGATCCTGTATGGACCAAGAGGCAGAGGTATTCACCGACATCTTCAACCTCTCCTTCCTACAAGCCGAAATCCCAACCTGCTTCAAGAAGTCCATCATCATCCCCATACCAAAGAAAACACACGCAGTGTGCCTTAATGATTACCGCCCAATAGTTCTGACTTCAATAATCATTAAGTGCTTCAAGAGGCTGGTCATGGTCCACATCAACTCCCGTCTCCCAACCTGCCTTGATCCCCCACCGTTCACCTACCAACACAACAGGTCCACAGAGGATGTCATATCTCTAGCCCAGCACTCAGTTCAGTAACATCTGAACAATGAAGACTCCTACGTCAGTCTCCTACTCGTTGACTACAGCTCTGCGTTCACCACCATTATCCCCTCCACACTGATCTCAAAACTGCATGACCTTGGTATCGGCTCCGCTCTCTACAACTAGGTCCTCAGTTTTCTGACCCATAGGCCACAGTGAGGATAGGTAAATGCACCTCCTCCACAATAACAACACTTGAGCCCCCCAGGGATGCATCCTCAGCCCCCTACTGTACTCCCAGTACACCTACAACTGTGTTGCCTAATTCTGAACGAGTGCCATCTACAAGTCTGCTGACGACACCACCATAGTGGAACAGATATCTAACGATGAGTCAAAATACAGAAGGGAGATAGAGGGCTTGGTGACCGTGGTGCAATGAAAACAATCTCTCAACGTCAGCAAAACTAAAGAACTGATCGTTGACTTCAGAAAGAAGAGAGGACAACATATCAACAGAACGGACATTGAGAGAGTGAACAGCATCAAGTTCTTCAGAGTGACGATAACCCACAACCTGTCCTGGACTTCCCACCCAAATGCGACAGTCAAGAGGGCACAACAACGCCTCTTATTCCTCAGGCAGCTCAGGAAACTTAGCATTTCCATAAGGTTCCTCACCAACTTCTACAGATGCACCATTGAAAGCATACTGTCCGGGTACATAACAGCCTGGTATGGCAACTGCTCTGCCCAGGACAATAAGAAACTACAGAAGGTGGTGTGCACAGCCTAGACCATCACAGAAGCCAACTTTCCATCCAGGGACTCTATTTACATGGCTCACTACCATAGAAAGGCAGCCAACAACAAAGACCTATCGCACCGGGGTAATGGCCTCCTACAACCTCTTCCATCAGGCAGAAGATACAGAAGTCTGAACACGCACGAGGAGGTTCAGGAACAGCTTCTTTCCAAGAATTATCAGACTGTTGAATGAACTCTAGCCTCAAATAATGATGTAACCTGCAATGTAACCTGTATGCTTCCAAGTCTTTTTGTTCTGTACATCCTTTGCTTGCTGTGACCTGCCTGTATCGCTTGTAAACAAAGCATTTCAGTGGCACGGTGGCTCAGTGGTTAGCA